CCTTATGCATTGCGAGATATAAGCTTCCAAACTTGGCTCCACGTACGGAATTTCTGCAACAGATTTCCAGTACTTTGTCGGAAATCTATTCCGTTTACCTTCCGAAATCCACCCGAGACCCTCGGGACCTTAACCAATTATTCCAACATGTCCCAAAATACCATACGAACTTAGTCGAGCCTTCAAACTATATCAAACAACATCAAAACAATGAATCACACCTCAAATCAAAATCAATGAACTTTGAACTTTTAAATTCTATATCTTGTGTCGAAACACATCAAATCAATTCGGAATGACTTTACATTTTGCACACAAGTCATAAATGATATAACTGAGCTATGAAAATTTTCAGAATCGGATTTCGACCCCGATATCAAAAAGTCAACCCCTCGGTCAAACTTCCCAAAAATTCAACTTTCGGCATTTCAAGCCTAATTCTACTACGGACATCTAAATAAAATTCCGATCACGCTCCTGAGTCTAAAATCACCATACGGAGCTGTTGAAATCATTAAAATTCTATTCTGAGGTCGTTTGCACATAATTTGACATCCGGTCACTATTTGAACTTAAACTTTTAATTTTTCATCAAAATTCCATATCTCTGGCTAGGAACCTCGGAATTTGATTCCGGGCATACGCCTAAGTCTCAAATCACGATACAGACCTACTAAAATTGTCAAAATACTGATCCGAGTCTGTTTGCTCAAACTGTTGACCAAAGTCAACTCAATTGAGTTTTAAAGCTCTAATTCACATTTAAATTCATTTTTCACCTGAAAACTTTCCGAAATTTTTTTACGGACTGCACACGCAAGTCGAGTAATGGTAAATAGTTCTTAGATCACATAATTAATCATTAAATTTAAAGATGACATTTTGGGTCATCACACTCGTAGTCTCCGGCACTCGATCGCGCACGAACTCAACGACCTTCGTGATCAAACACACCTGGATCTTCACATGGAGTGCAGGGTATAGCATGAGTACAACTAACTCAGCAAGTAACATAAATAAATAAGGAACTGAGAAGGTAGTGACGAGCTATACTATACAGTTCATTTTCAATAATTTCTGCAAGGAATAGACATGCTTTCAAATCCGGCAGTTTAAATCAAATCAATTTTATTCAGTCAAAGTGCAGGTAAATCCGGATATAGAATCTTTCAAAAATTTCACGACAATGATAGATAGCAACTAAGTGCATAAACAAATGAATAAGAAAGTACATCCTCTTAGGGCAACACTCAGTCAACTCATTACAACAACTCAATCGCTCGGCTCTCAGCCCTCGGTACTCACACTCAATAGGTATATGTGCTCACTGGGGGTGTGCAAACTCCGGAGGGGCTCCTTCAGCCCAATCGCTATATCGCTGCGGCGTGCAACCCGATCCCATATAAATAGCCATAAGGCTCATTGCAGTGTGCAACCCGATTCATATATATATATATATATAGGCCGGAGGCTCGTTGCGGCGTACAACCCGATCCATATATACAGCCCTAAGACTCGTTATGGTGTGCAACCTGACTCATATACATATATATAGCTCACAGCTTGGCACTCAGGCCCTAACTCAGTCACCAACCTCTCTAGTCTCTCTGGCTCTCAGAAATCATAAATATAGACACAAACAAAATAATATAGTGTATCAATAAGAATCAAGAAAAGACTGAGATATGATATGCAAATAAAACCATGACTGAGTACAAGACAATAATTAGAAAATACTTCAACAGGTACACGACCTTTGCGGGCCCCAACAGTACCATCACATAGCCAAAACATGATTTCTAACATGATTTGCAGTCAAATTTCTATAACACAGAGAGAACATGTAATTAACAAGAGGCTATTCGACTTTACAGTCTCACGGGACAGACCATCACAATCCCTCACGGTGCACGCCCACACGCCCGTCACCTAGCATGTGCGTCACCTCCAAAATAGTCACATCATACCAAAAGCCTAGAGTTTCATACCCTCAGGACCAAATTTAAAACTGTTACTTACCTCAAACTATACAAAATCCTACTCTGCGATGCCCTTGCCCCTCGAATCAATCACCAAACGCCCTGAATCTAGCAACAAGCAGTACGAGATAATTAATATAGGCTAAAGGAATAAATTCCACAAGAAAAATATGAAATTACAAGCCAAAATCCGAAATTGGTCAAAAGCCGGCCCCGGGCCTACGTCTCGAAATCCGACAAACATCACAAAACCCGAAATCCCATTCACTCACGAGTTCTCTCGTACCAAAATTACTCAAATCAGATAACAAAATCTTATTCAAAACCTCAAAATTCTAACTCAAGAGTTCATTCTCTTTTTTCCCAATTTCTCAACCCAAATCACAAATTAGATGATAAAATTAAAGATGAAATCATGGGATTTAACCAAAACCAAGTAGGAATCGCTTACCCCAATCAACTCCACAAAAATCCCTTCAAGAATCTCCCAATTCCGTGTTCTCTAGTTCAAAATATGTAAAATGGGTTCAAACCCTCGTTTTTTAAATTAATATTGTCTGCCCAGATTTCCTTCTTCGCGAACGCGACCGTCCTCTCGTGTTAGCGTAGGCCAACTCAGACTGCCTCCCAATTTACTCGTCACGAACGCGATCAATGCTTCACGAACGCGATCAACGCTTCACGAACGCGAAGCTTTACAAGCTCAACTTATCGCGAACGCGGCCCATACCTCGCGAACGTGTAAACCAAAGACCTGGGGTCCCCAGCTGCCTCACTTCTCTTCACGAACGCGACACTACTCAAGCATTCGCGATGCACACGCAAACCATACCTTCGTGTTCGCGTCCTCTTCTTCGCAAACGCGAAGAACAAAATGTTCCCAACTCACATTAACCCTTCGCGAACACGTAAGAGGAAACCAGAAAATATACATCAGTAGATATCAGCCATCAACCAAAGTCGAAAAATGATCTGTTAACCACCCGAAACTCACCCGAGGCCCCGGGACCTCAACCAAACATACCATCAAGTCCGAAAACACTATACAAACTTAGTCGAATCCTCAAACCGCATCAAATAACATCAAAAATACGAATCACTCTCCAATCCAAATTTAATGAACTTCGAAATTTCCAAATTCTACAAACAATGTCGAATCATACCAAACTACGTCCGATTGACCTCAAATTTTACACACAAGTCATATTAAACATTACAGACCTACTCCAACTTGCGGAATCGGAATCCGACCCCGACATCAAATTGTCAACCCTTGGCCAAACTCCGTAAAAGTTCGGCTTTCGTCATTTCATGCCTAAATTAGCTACAGACCTCAAATTCACAGTTCGGATACGCTTCTAAGTCCAAAATCACCCAACGGAGCTAACGAAACTGACAGAACTCCATTCCGGAGTCGTCTTCACATAATATTGACTACGGTCAAAATTTTAAGACTTAAGCTTATGTTTTAGAGACTAAGTATCCCAAATCACTCTGAAACCAAAAACAAGACCTTCCGGCAAGTCACATAAGCAGAAACAAATACGGAGAAAATAGTAAATAGGGGATCGGGGCTAATACACTCAAAACGACCAACCTGATCGTTACATTATGCCTTTGGTTCAAGAATTTGCTCATATAATCTCACTAAAGAGGGAGCCATTTTCATTGATAACTGTTTTGGCAATTAAAATTAGATCCACTTATCTAGGACTCGATCTTGGTACTAGTCCAAAAAGATCAAAGTCGAAGCTTCAGAATTATAGTCGGAAAAACGACAAATCTTTGCTCCGTTGAATTAAAAACAGTGATTTTCTAAGAGTGTGACCTAAATAGTGTAAAAATTATTTATAATGTCGGTAGATATTAGTTAAACTCGAAACAAATACTGTAAAAAAAAAAAAAAAAGAGGTAGTATGGTACACTAAGCTCTAGCAATGCACGGGGTTCGAGAAGGGCCGGACCATAAGGGTCTATTATACGCAGTCTTACTTTTTATTTCTGAAAGAGGTTGTTTTCACTGCTCGAAATAAAAATACCGTAATTCCCTAAAAGGAAAGAGAATTAATAATGAAGCATAGATACCGGGTGCGTGTAAATTTTTGCCTACCAATAATCAGGATTTCCATCAGGCCAAAAAGTATTGGCAAAAGTGTCAAAACTTTCAGGGATAAGCAAATCAGCATTGTGGACACTATCATAAAATGGAAAGCGTGGAATCTCATTTTGGAAACGTTTAAAAGTTTTCTTTGAATAATCTCTCAATTCGGCTTTCAATGGAAGGATTTCTTTTAAAGTATCAAACCTTGCTTCTCGAATTTCATTTTGAACCTTATCATATATTGCTTCAAAGCAACCATATTCTTGAAAAGCTTGAGTTTTTGTGGATTCCCATTGTGCAGTACCTGGTTTTAGTTCTGAATTGCAGAAATCTATGGTGGGAATTTTCACTTTGTTGGATGCCATTATTGATCAATTATTTAACGTTTTTTAATACCAAACTCTTCCCTTCAACTGATTTATATATATATACTTGTATCCTGAGCCCGGGGCGGACCCACGTTCAAGCAACCATGTTGGCTGCGGTGGAACGGTCGAGCGCAGGGGCGGAAAGGGTTCTTTTGGATCCCCTTCACCAAAAAATTACAATGTATATGTAAGATTCTAAATTATATATCGAATTGCTTATTCAAAGTAGGTGCAATTGTTATAGAAGAAAATTTGAATTCTCAATTAGTCAAGATATGCGTAAGCTTACGCAAATGGTTTAAGTGCCTCATTATTATTTTCAAGATTTGAATAATGTCAAAAAGGTTGTCTAAGTTTTCCAGAGTTGCCTGTTCCAAAATATGAATATTATAATAACTATACCTCAATTCCAAACAAATTAAATCGGTTCTATGAAACAAACGTTAAAATCTTGACATCATTACGCGTTTTACATAGACTAATTGCATAGCTAAATAATTCTTATATTCTACAGTCATTTTTGTTAACCCCAAAATGAGATTTTAATGATTGTTGAAAGAATTTCTTGTATTAATTAATGTATATATTGTATAGGCCAAAAATTTGTCCTTGGAGTATTTAGCATAAAATGGCATTAATGAATTTCATCGGCCGAGCTCGCCTAAGACATAGCGTGATTAAAGGCCGAGGTGTCGAAATAAGCCGTGGTCGAGATATCAATAGAGATCGCAGTCAAAATGTCAACAAGGATCGGGGTCGAGATCGATTATTAGTGATAAGACTTGTAACGGCTAATTTGTCAAAATAGAGTATTGAAAAAGGGAATATTCTAGTGAATATTCCTGGTGTTTATACTATTAGGTTTTTTCTAAGAAAATGAGTCCATATATATAGAAAGAAGAGACAATGACAAGGGCATGTAATATTTTTCTAATAAGAATACTTTTGAGAAGAAGACTCCCTTTCGGATAAAAACACAAAGGCTGGCTTTTTATAAAGATTCTCGTTCATATTATTTTCCACTTTTCCACCAGATCCAAGAATTGTTCATGCAAATCTTGGATCTATCTGCCATTCACCATTGTCAGGCAGAATATTCACCTTGCCAATTCATTGTCAGGTGAATCATTCTTTTTATTTACATAAATACCATTTATTGATATTTATTGCTGGATATATCTCATTTAATATTCTTGTTGCAAGAGTATTTCATATTTATTGTCATCAATCATATGCGAACTCAGTCCCATATATCGTGCATCCTTACACTTAATATCTAGAGTCATTATCCTTAACTAGATTTGACCCTTCATTATATAAATTTAATAGTTTAACCGGAGATTATATTTCTCGGTCTAACAATTTGGCGCCGTCTGTGGAGATTTTCAAGCTAAGTTTTTTTAGTTTCTTCTAGATCTACAACCGGCACTGATTGATGACGTAAATAAAAAAAAATTCTCTCCGCTTGCATAGATCTAACATGGCAGGTAACAGAGAAAAAAGAGCAAGAATTATGAGTGACCTCCCAACCAACTTCATAGACATCATCCATGATAGCTCAGAAGCAGTGGGCGAGGACACAACGCCCAATGCTTCTCCCAGGCGAGGTGGATCACCCCTCCCCACTGCAGCATCACGAAATCCCTTGGCAAGACAACCTCCACATCCGTGGGAGAGGAGGCACCGCTAGCGATAAAGAAGCTCCTTGAGTGCTGGTTAACTGATACACTAACCAGCGTCCTCCATAAGCCCATTAGGGCGCGGCCGCAGAAACTGCGAGAACCTGTGCTACGTATCCATAGAACGAGCAACATGATCAACTTTCCTCCTTGCCCGCAACGACAGATATCACTAACAATGTTGTTAATAATGCAGGTAATGACGCCCTCACAACCATTCTGAAAAGGATGGAAGAAATGGAAAATGAGAACAAGGCACTGCGGGACCATATGAGAGAGAACCAGAAAAGGGTCGATAAAATACTGGGCGCTCCTAAGTTATTGTCGAAGAGAGATGTCGGTCGGTTCGTCGAGTAGCCGTACAGCGACAGCGCTGCCCTGCATGCCATACCGAAGAGTTTCAAAATGCCGCCCTACTTGAAAATATACGATGGCACGACCGACCCTGAGGATCATGTGACCCACTACGTCACCGCTGTAAAAGGCAACGACCTCACAAAGGAACAAGTATCCTCCGTTCTGCTAAAGAAATTCAGCGAAACCCTTGCGGGAGGAGCACTGACCTGGTACTCGCAACTACCAGGCCGTTCCATCGAAACCTTCGAAGAAATGGCCGATAAATATGTGAAGGCCCACGCCGGAGACAAAAAGGCAGAGGCGGGAGTGAATGATATCTTTGCTATCAAACAGTCACCGAGAGAAGGACTTAGGGATTTCCTCGCCCGTTTCAACCGAGTGAGAATGGCTTTGCCCAATGTATCAGAAGGAATGGCGGTGGACGCTTTTCAAAACGGACTGAACAGAAATGGTTCGAGAGCGACAAGAAAATTATTGAGATGGCTTATGAAATGCCCCTCAACAACTTGGGACTAAATACATAATGCATATTGTGCCGAAGTTCGAGCAGACGAAGACGACCCCAATGGGCCAACTCATCGACTGACCTCAGTACAAGCAGAATCCAGAAAAGATCGGAGAAGTGATACCAGAAGAGATCCGGCAACCTTACGACCAAACCGTGACCGACATCTCCCATATATCAGAACTACCGCTATACCCTCACCCTACCATAAATAAGGCCCACCCCGGTCAAGAACAGGGACTCACCGGAATGAAAGAGGTATGCCCCCTTTATTATCCGCTCACACATTTTGCGTGTTACCTACAGAGATTGTCTACGCCCTGGAAAAGCTCGGGTCAAAGATGAAGTGGCCGCAAAAGATAAGGTCAGAGCCGAATACCAGAAAATTAAACTCCCTCTGCGAGTTCCATAAAGAGCGAGGACACAAAACCGAACACTGTAGCGCCCTAAGACAAGAGGCCATAAATATGCTGCGACAGGGGCACCTCAAAGAACTGCTGAGCAATCGGGGAAGAACCAACTTTGCCAGGGGGTGCGAATAACATCAAGGACCACCGAAGCCGCCCTCACCAGCCCACACCATCCACATGATCATCAAAAGCGTAAAGTTCACCACGACCCACAAGCTCAAACGGTCGATCACCCACGAACGGTATGACAAACTCGATGAAAGTATCATCTTCGATAAGTCGGATACCAACGGTTTGAAATTCCCTGACTATGACGCTCTTGTTATTACTTTACGAATTTTAGATATCGACGTAAGACGGATTATGGTAGATGACGGAAGTGGCGCGTGTATTATCTATCCCCGAGTACTCACACAAATGAAACTCGAGGTAAAGATAGTACCACGCTGCATCACACTAACGGGTTTTAACAACGAAGTTGAACAAACATCTGGCGAGATCACACTCCCCGTCTTGGCGGGTGGCATCACTCTGGAGACCACATTCCACATCATGGATCAGGACACGACATACAACGCCATAATAGGGCGACCGTAGATACATACCATGAGAGTTATACCCTTCAGCTTGTACCAAGTCATCAAATTTCCAACTCTGTGGGGGATATTCAGCATACGCGGGGAACAACCTATATCTCAAGAATCCTATTGCATCACCCTAGACTGCACGACCAGTCAACAAATGAAAGTCAAAGAGAAGGAAGCATAGAAATCAACAGGGTCGAGGTCGGTAAATGACGACATCAAAGACATCATCAGAGACCTCGATGTGTCCGAGGCCGCAGGATCGACTATAGAGGACCTCGACCCCATTCAACTAGATGTCAACGAATTCAGCAAGAAAGCTTACATCAGTCGCAAACTCCAAGATCTAGGTAAGTTTCACAAATTCTTAATTGCTAACCCAAACCTATTTGCTTTTAGCCATGCAGATATGCTAGGTATCCCAAAAGAGATCGCCACACACAAATTGAATGTCGATCCACTCTATCCCCTGTAAGGCAGGTTTGACGCAAGTTCAATTCCGCAATCAATGACACGGTGCGCGAAGAAGTAGAAACATTATTGGCAAATGGTTCTATCAGAGAGTCGAAGTACCCCCAATGGGTCGCCAACGTGGTCATGGTAAAAAAGAAAAACGGCAAGTGGCGGATGTGCGTGGATTTCACTGACCTGAACAAAGCTTGCCCCAAGGATTCATTTCCACTACCTCATATCGACCAACTCATCGATGCGACAACCGTACATGAGTAGTTGAGTTTCCTGGACGCCTACTCGGGCTACAACCAGATCCTTATGGAGGAAGAGAACAAGGAAAATACCACATTTATCACCCACCAGGGGACGTACTGCTACGGGGTCATGCCTTTCGGACTTAAAAATGCGGGGGCAACTTACTAGAGACTGGTGACGAAAATATTCAAAGAAAAACTCGAAAAGATGATGAAGGTATACATCGACGACATACTGGTCAAATCCAAAAATAAAGAAGATCACATCGATCATTTAAGAGAAGCCTTCGGCATACTCAGGCAATACGGCATGAAGTTAAACCCCGAAAAGTGCGCATTCGGCATGGCCTCAGGAAAATTCTTGGGTTTCTTAGTGTTACAGCAGGGAATCGAGGTCAATCCCAACCAAATCAAGGCCATTGAGGGTATACCAGAGCACTTGACCACTAAAAAACAAGTCCAAAAGCTAATCGGCCGTATCGCCGCCTTGTCAAAGTTCATCTCGCGATCCTCCGATAGGTGCCATAAATTCTTCGGTGTATTTAAAAAGGAGAACGTACTCCAATGGACCCCTGAATGCGTCCAAGCATTGAAGGAGTTGAAGGTATACCTATCTTCGCCACCGTTGCTCTCAAAACCGAAACCAGGACTGCCTCTCCTCGTCTATCTCGCCGTGTCCGAAGTAGCTGTGAGCGCAGTCCTAGTCCAAGAAAATAAAGGTACACAATCTCTCATCTATTACATTAGCAAGACAC